TTTTTTTTTTTTTAAAGAAGTCTTATTATGATGCTTCAGGAGTTAACCGTTTGTACATACACGTACAAACATTTTAGACGAGCTGAATTTATAAAAACGAACTTGTTTTCTAAAGAACTGTATTAGTTCACAAGGTGATAATCACATACCTTTGAAGTCTATTTGAACTTTCACCTGATTCAATGACGCTGACATTTACATTTGTCAATGTCGGGTTTTGAAAAACCTCACCAGCTATATAAAATGATGGTAAACTCTTTCTACACGGTACACCGTTACTGTCAGCACGCTTTCCTTGTATCAATGTTTTTTTTTTTTAATATCTGGTATATTTATGTATTTTGAGCACGCACTGGTTGATCTTGGTTTCTAGCTGGTCACATGTGCGAGCAGCGATACTAAATGTTTTTTACCTATGGCTGCTACACTCAGGGCACCAATTGGGGGAATCTCTCCCAACCTTGCCGGTTTTTTTTAAACGGCCCGGCAAAGAAATGATTTGTCGACCACGAAATATGAATATTTATCTATGATAGTACTAAATTAATAGTCCATTAAATTCATCTCCGGTCCACACTATACCAGAGAAATTCGGAAACGGCGTTTTCACACTGAAAACGCATCAAATGTTTTCCGTTCACACTACGACGGAGAAATTTAAAAGTGCAACATTCACCGGTCATTTTGGCTTTGTGTTTGCAAAAATATTTGGGCAGGATAACTGCATGATATCAAATTCCTCCGGTTTGAAGAACGTTTTCGAAAAGCGATGTATGTTTACCGCCATTTTGGAAGGTTTAAACATTTGACAAACGTGGGGCACAACAGCAATGCACCACAAGCAGACAAAAATAAAATCAAATAAGCAAATAGGTTTTGTTTTTGATAAAAAGCTTAAACATTATTGCTAAAGCTGACTGGCCGGGACTGCACGGCAATCAGTGGCAGAAGAATTCAGAGACTTGGAAAATGATTTTCTCAACATGTAAAATAATTTCCTCGTTACGGAGGCAGTGTGACCGAGTGGTTAGGGCGCTGGACATGAAATCCCGAGGTCGCGGGTTCAAGTCCCGCTCTGGCCACTTAGCTGGAGTTGTTTCTCGTTAGACCCTAGTTTAACTCTTCCGTCATGCTTGTAAATAGCCAACTGGTCTGCTTCCAGGCAGTTGGATTTGGTATTTGCAGCATGGATGGCGGTTACCTAGGAGTACCGGCACTGATACTCCTTTCTATAAATGGGACATTTACCTGTTAAAAGTTTGACAGGTTGTTAGCAATTCACCGGAAACCATGTACTTATATTCATACTGTTACGCAGCAGAGAGAGGAACTGGCTCGAGAATAACATCTACCTCGAAAGCAAAACCCAAATGACGCCCCTGATCATGATTTAAACTTAAACACATGGGCTGAAGTCCAATGCAGTTATTTACCTGTGCGCCATCTACTGGTAAAATGGAAAATGAAAGTCAAAATAAAAAATGCTTCGTTCTGATGTGCCGGTCAGTAAATGCCCCATATTTTCAAAATCGACGTACAGTCTTTTCAAATTGCTCAAGTTACCAAAAATATAAGAAAAAAAAATATGCATACCAGACACTGCTCTGAAAGAAAGCAGCTGTTTCTCTTTTATTTAAGGCATAACAAATATCAGTCATTAATTAATTTAGATTTCCATCTCATTGTTTCTTGCAAAACAGTTTGTTTTCTTCAGTTTCATTAGAGAATCAGTTCAGTTCCACCAGTTATTGGAAATGCTGATTATTTTCTTTAATCATACAACGGCACTCCTTAAAACTGTCTTTTCTTTCTCGTTGGCTATTTTTGTTAGGGATATATCGACTGCAAGTAAATCAATTAGCCGTGCCACATCAATAAAAATATCAATTTTGCGGTAAGTTTAGACAAAACAATAACATCTCTACACTTGTACAAAGCTCAAGCCTGAAAACAAATCACAAATCTTCACTTCAATTCAAGCGATCAACTCTTTTGTTTTTGTGTTGCGCGATTCAACTCAAAAAAACTAATTTAAAAACCTCTCGACTGCAACTAGTTCAGTTAGCGTAAATTATGAACGAACGAAAATCTCGGTAAAAGCTCGCTGGGGGACCTAACACGTGGCAATATCAGTAATCAGTTGCGAACTGTTCTTCATAAATATTCAAAACAACATGTTGCTATAGACTGGCAGATGTTCTACACGTGTTACGTCAGGCGGATATTAAAAATAGCATGTGTGAAAGAACACTACAGTACCTGATATCGAGTTCGATGTTAGTTAACAGGGCTTTCATTCGAACGGCTTCACTTTTGAATAATATAACATTTCTTGAACAGGTACAAGCGGGCGAAAACCATCTTCCCTTCAAAAGGTAAGCGAATGTAGGCTGCTTCATTTGTGATGAGGCATTTTGTCCTAAATCAGGATAAACGTTGATTGTTAAACTGTTAAATTTGAAATCAAGCTGACCGTTGAAAGCGCTTGCATGGCTATATTGCGCTTTGGAGCGTTGAGGTTGTTTTCTTGGCTTTCATCGCAAAGGCCTGATTCACTGAAGTCAGCAGCAGTCTGCATCAAGGTTGTTTCTTAAACACATTCAGTTTATAATTCATGATGGTGTATATTTTTGAAATTTCTTCCTCTTCCGGCCTTGCAATTATCCCACAGTGAGGAAATATAAATTTGAATGATTTCTCTTACTATTTCTGGATTGAAAACAGTTCTATTAATTGCAAGTTATTTTTTCCACATATTCTCAATAAGGACAGATACTTTATCATACACATTGCTTTGAAGAGAAGATCCGTTTTCTTTAAGATTTAGATTCAGAGCTGTAAGAAGGTAATTAATAAATCCCAATTTGACAAAGTGTATTACGCTTCAGCTTCTCTCTGTAAAGCACAAATAAAATTGTATAGTCAAGGGTGAAACAAGAAAAACGCACACAACTTGGAACTTTTTCTGTTCTTGAATTCAGTATCAATTGAGGATCATAAGCATAAACCACGCCTATTTTCCTTGTGCGATTTTTAAAAATACTAGGTATTCCTAATCGCTGAATTGTTTTCAAAATTCAAGTTTCAAAATTTCTCATTTTAATGGGCGCCTAATCATTATATGATGTTTGCGAGGCTGTTAATTTATTGAATACGACGAAGGACAATTTGATATTCAAACTGACTAGCATTGGTCAGTAACGCGCTTTCGTTTGCGGCGAAAACAAAAATAACGAAAGTTCTCTCTCCCCGTGTTAAATCGTTATTTTTTTCTTTTTCGGGTGCAGCGTTTTTAGCAGGTAAAAAATTGACTTTTTCATCTTTTTAGACATTCAGCAAGTTATCATTGATAGTAATATGAATATTTTAAAATGCTCTTTGCTTTAGGTAAATGATGTTGTTTTCCGTATGTAAACATCTCCAGTAAAATTTATTAAACTTTGATTTGAAACTACTTGTCAAGGCAAACTGTAAATAGAAAAATCGCAATTCCGGGATTTTACACTTCAAAGAAATTAGCTTATCTTTTAGGACAAAAAAACTTACTTTAGTGGCGAAGAAGGTTTGATTTTTAAAACTACGTTTGTCATGAAATACTGGTAAAGTGGAAGGCAATATGAGGTACTGTGCGGCTTTAGTCTTCCTTGTTTGTCTTGCGAAGACAGAGCCATTTAACCACATGTAATGAAAACATATTTTTGTGAGACTACCCGTTTTGCCTCAGTAACCGAATGCAGAAATGATAAAGGGCAATTCAGAACTTCGTTTCAAATTAAAATGACTTGAACAGGCGGCGTTTTCACGGGAACCAAGTTCATGATTTTAAGCTCTAGCGCCGGAAACAAACTGAAAACGATACATGAAAATTTAATCAAATTTGTCCCGAATTATTGTTATTTTTGAACTGCAATTTAAAGTGGATGGCCTTTTCAGTACAGGATCTTTAAGCCGTTCAATGTCTGAATATTTAAATGTTCAGTATTTGATCAGGGTTTCATTTGGCCGAGTACGAGAGGTAAAGGGAACGGCACGCGACAAACCGCCTGTGTCAAATGTATTCAGCGTCTATTCACAAAAGCGAGCTGCCTCGCAACGTTTTTCCCTCCAAAGGCCATGCGAGTGACAAGCTGTCTCTATTCTTCTTTATTGCATCATAGCAACTTTACACAACAAATCCGCTCTCGTAAAAGCTCCAATTGATATGCAAATCCCGCCCAAGTCGCAAGGACCTCAGGTACTTGAATGAGTTGTTTTGTTTTCTTTCATAATAACAGCATTATCGGTCTCCCAGGAGGGAAAGCACCGCTCTACCATTGGACCGTTTATCACAACTGTGGTTATCGAAATACTTGTGCCTCGTGCCATTAGAAGAGCAAATTAACATCAGTGTTTCCAGTTCACTTCATTAACGACAAGCCGCCAACATTGCCTCATAGCGATGGAGTACACTGCGGATCTCAAAATACTCCGTGCTTTGTTGTTTTGGACTGTCTTGCTCCCTCATATCTTCGTTTGTTCAACTAGCTTAGCAGAGGACTGTATCTGGAGAGGAAGGTGAGAAAAACAGTTCACTTTTAACAGTTTATTGAGAACAGCAACCATCAGTCACTAATTAGAGAATGCTGAAAATTTTAATTTAGCGCGTGTCACAAACAACTGCGTCAGGAAACTACGTGTGCAACTGTGGTTTCACATCCTTCACGCAGTCGAGGCTATCGGAAATTTGAAAACACACGAACTGACAAACTCTTATGTAGTGTGATTCTCTGCCAGGCCCTAGATATGTCCACGGCACAATTATTACAGACTTCACGAAAAAATACAGATGTTAAGTGGCTTTGTTATGACAACTTCGATCAGTATAAATTGCTGTTTACAGAGTGAACGCAAGAAACAACCATTAGTTCTTTATGGTTCCTAGAAGAGGAACAAGCTACATTTAACTTAGTAAATTCCATCTTGGAGGCAAACTGTTCCTCGCATGTAAGTCGTGTACCACACACGAGTGATTTCAGTAGAATTTGAAAAATTTGCGACGAATTTTTGAGTTGACAAGTTTGCCAAACGTAGTTCTCAACGTTTCAATCCGAAGCCGTATCTTTTTCAATACTACATCTTTCCAACCGGAGGCCTTTTCTTTTGAAATAATGCCACGATAACGTTCGCAGTATATTACAAACGCGTGTTATTTTCTCTTTTTTCCCCGAGTGTTAGCTTTCTGTTATGGCACGTGCTTCTCTTTTGTGTCGAAATAACTATTGTTCGCTTTGCGCTAACAAAAGGAATTGCTAGGGCAGATTTTACGTTTTGCTTCCCAGGGCTTCACTATTGTCCTCCTCGCTTCTTTTTATTGTTTTTCCATAAACCACAGAACGTGGAAAACACATGTTCACAAACAACAAGAAGAAACCGTTGTCAATGAAGCTCTGTCAGTTTTCCTTATTTAGACACTAAACAAGTTAGTGCAATCAAAATATAACCGCCAGCTAAGAAACGTACAACCCTTCCGGTCCAATATCTTAAAATGTTTAAGTGAAGTGCTTGCGTGCACGTTCGTTCTCACATAAATAATTTAAGAACTTTTTTCTCGAAGCTAATCAAACTAGTGTAGTTCAAAAGGACCCAACAATTGAATCCAAGAGTCGGTGAAGAACATCGTTTAATGGAAAAAGAATAGGAAGTATTCGAAATGTTTCACTTCAGGGGATAGTTAGGTTAGTCAATAAAGCCTAACACATTAGTGGTAGAAAGATCGCGCCTGATATCCTATATCATTAACTGAGGCAAAAAATAACGAATGTAAGAACTTTGCAGGGACAAAATGTTAAGTACCTTTTATGATATATAGTTTTTCTGTTGTTGTTTTAAAATCAAACAGGAAGAACTATTTCTACTTGACTGTTTAATATTTGACAAATTTTTACAATATCGTAATGGCAATTGAAAATATAGTTTAAAACCTGTTCGTATTTTTTTTTTATATATAGCTCGTTTCTTTATCAAAAGAAATTCTTGAAGTGCCATGCACTCGTTCGTTACTTTGCCATCCGATGTTTCCGTTAAATAACGTCTTTTAGCGCCAGAAAACAGTATTGATTTGTTTATCTGTGAAATAATAACGTAGGACTGTTCGCATAATGGCGACCGTGAATCAGTTTTTCTCTCTGCTTGAAAAATAAAAACTTTTCGGTGACTTTTCATCGATTGGTCCACATGCAAACCATGATGTCCTTTTTCGTCATTAGTGGACCGAAACGAAAGTCACTTGAACGAAAGAGAATTCAGTCCAATATTTATCCATCTGTTTGACAGGTATAAAACGATTGCGGTGGAGAGGTCTTTCAACTAATTACAGCTAACTAAAAAAAAATCATTCATAGTTTGCATTGCTGTGGTTTATTAATTACATCATAGTGTTTGGAAATAAATGTTTAAAATGCCTCAATTAGACTTTCCCGGGGAATTTCAGTTTGAGTCCTTGAACAAGCTTCCAATAGAAACAAAATACATTGCAACGAGAAAACACATGGCTGTCAGAATGAGACTAGCTTTCATGGCTTGCAATGTTTCTTGTGTGGTAGTAAAACCGACCGCAAGGAAACTGGGGAAGACGGAAGTCCTACCCATTCTCCTCGCAGCTTAATTAGTCCATATTTTGCCCCGTCGTGCGCGTGCGCTCTAGCGAAACAGTCTACTATGCAGGGTACCATAAGTCGGCGGTTGGGAAAACTTTGGTTGAGTTCTATGGCCAATTCTGTTTTGAACATTACGTTTTGTTATCTCCTTTTAGCGGTCTCCCCCGTCAGGAAAAGCCCTCTGTTGTGAGTATAGAAACAAAGTGTCACCTGGGAGAGCTTCACTGGGCTGAACCATTTGGCGGCCTGCGAGTCACGTTCAGCCCACGTGATGTGCACGCCGATTATAAACTGTGCTTTACTGCCCGACATCCTGGCGTCAGGATTTACCAGGAACATCTACAGAGCTTGACATTGCTGACAGGAGCGACTGAAAATGTGTCAAGAAATGCAGTTTGTGTAAAGAGCAAAGTAGGGCAGAGTCTGGTGCTGTACTTGGAAACGCAGGAAGACCAAAAAATGACCCAATTAAATTACACGGTGCTTGTAAATGGAAGAAAGAGGCCAAGAAATGAAAGACGAAAAGGTAAGAGAAATAAGGTGAAATGAAAGTAAACACCGTGTCTATTTTTGCACTGACAAGTTGCAGACAGCCTCTGCACACGTTTTGTAGCCTTGTATGAATTGCCGTACAACCCATTCTAAGTAAAACGTAACGTGACTAAGTGACAGGACCGTGTCTGTGAAGGAGACTTGACCGGCACTAATTTTAGGGAGCGCAGTTATAAATAACTTTCCAGAAAAGAGAAGAGAAGCCCAAAGGAGCCCCCCTCGGGAAGACACCGGCTCAACTCTCTGGTTACACTGAACTATGAACTTAATGACTCTCCAACTTTCACCTGTTCCCCTTATTACGGTAATTTCTTTTCTTTTTTCTTTT